AAGTACATGCATGTAAACATGAACCCTACAACTTTTAAGTATCAAGATTAATTACATAATAGAATTAGGCGAGTTAAGGGAATACCTCCATTCATCATGATGAGGAAAAACAAATTTTATGGTTGATTTAATTAGAAGAATGCCTTGATCTTTGATTAGGAGTATAGGTTTCTCTCCCCTGATCTATAAACCTCTTTTTTAGAATCAATTGCTGAAACATTCCGGTTCGGAGAACCAAAATCTGAAACACTCTGGTTCGGAGGATTTTTTTTATTATTTTTGTTTATAAACGAAACGGTAGTAAATGACCAAAAAACCAGCAACCCAAACACGGGATCCACTCTATTTTAAGCCCGTCGGATCTATATCCGGGTAAAAACGAAATTGAAATAAAGTTCGGGTAAATCTGAAACCCTACCACTTCGATTTTGTGAAACGATTCTCCTCCTTCTCCTCCCTTTCAGTTCAGATTCATTACAAGTAGAATTCTAAAATTTGCGATTGAAGGAATCGTGAGCAATGGTGAAAATAAGCCATGGTAAGCCGCCGCCGAGGAAGAGAAATGGGAAAAAGGAGAAGGATGCTCCTCCATCGGACCCGGTTCCGCCGGTAGTCGAAGAACAAGCAACGAAGGAAGCGGGTCGGGATGAATCGGGGAATGTAGAAGAAAGGATAGTAGGAGATGGAGGTTTGGAAAATTGAGAGGAAGAGAAAGTCGAATGGTGTTGAGGAAGAAGAAGATGGTGACCATGTGCCGGTAGTCGATGAACAAGCAATGGAGGAAGCAGGTCGGGATGAATCGGGGAATGTAGAAGAAAGAGTAGTAGTAGATGGAGGTTCAGAAAATCGAGAGGAAGAGAAAGTCGAAGATGGTGTTAAGGAAGAACAAGATGGTGACGATGTGGAGGAAGAAGAAGATGGTGAAGATGTCGTGGAAGAAGAAGATGGTGAAGACGTCGAGGAAGAAGACAATGATGGGGATGAAGTCGATGACGAAGAAGATGGCAAAGATTCAACCGATGGTGATGATGAGGAGGAAGAAGAGGAAGATGGCGATGATGAAGATGAAGATGAAGAAGAAGAAGATGCGCAAGATGCCATGGTAAGTACATCTAGAATTAATGAATTTTGAGAAAACAATATGAGTGTGTGAAGTAGAAAGTAAAACTCGGTTATACTGTACATTTGGTAGTAGAAAGTAAAACTTGGTTATACTGTACATTTGGTTCTAGGTTAGCGAGGACGAAAGCG